ATTTAATACCTGAGATAAGTGTACGGTTTTTTTTTTTTATAGGCGCAGTCTGGAAACTTTCCGATCGCACCTCGTACTTGTGATATTCTAAAACGTTTTTACCAGCACAAAATTATCTAGTCTACGACGCACTTCTTCTACAACCGATTCACAGCTCAGCTCTTTCCGCAAAAACGAAAGCGGATTGTTGACGGCAGTAATATAACACAACACTGCCGAGTAAACAGATGACGTTTCTTGGGTGACATAACAATGCACGCAAGCTGACCATGGTTGTCGGTCCATATTTACACATTGTTGATATGGATCTTACACGTTTTCCATTCACTTTTTTTGCCGAATGACCCTTCCGTATAGACGTATTTAAGTCAAAAAAAGATTGTGAAATTTTGCTTTTCCTTCTGAAAATCCGAGATCATTGCAACAGTAGGCAGGCTCCTAATATAACGCCAAAAAATGTTCCAACAATGACCATACGATAAAAATTAAGAACTCGGCAACTTGCCCAATTAGACAACTTTTCCACCTTAGGTTAAAAAACTATTTTTTAAACTGTATTTAAAGTATAATTTTGTTGGATAGCTGACATTTTTAAATCTTTAATCATTTTCCAAATTGCTACTAGCATCCCTCAGTTACTCATAACACTGGTTGTAGGAAACGTTTTGTTTTACTTTTAGTAAACACAAAAATAGAGTTTACAAAGTTGACTTATATTTTAATATGTATGTATGGAATGTTTAATTTCTATTCATGATACTTGAAGATGGTGTTTGAGGTTCATTAGTCAGATGTGGAAGACCCATAGACAACAGACAAGAAAAACAATCTGAATTCTGAAAATGTGGTTTTCATTTTAAGGGAGCTTTGTAATTATTTAAAGAGAAGTGGGAAGCAGTGTGAAGACACCAGGCCTCCATCATGGTTAAGAGTTCACATTAAACTGTAGATCCCAACTGGTGACCATTATTCTCATAATTATTCTTTTAGGTATAACAGAATTTATCCTGTGGGTGTTCCCACCGGATAAATGGAATCCATGCCCTTGCCCAAGTGAGCAGAGGTTAGAAAGATAATGCCTGGAGGCATTACACAAATACTTGCTTCAAATTCATTACTTTTCTCACAACGGATGACAACTAAACAAATGATGGAGGTCGAAATATTCAATTTTTGAAATAATGCTAAGGATTTAATTAATAAGCAATATACATTATAATATGTGGGTACACTGTTAATGATATGTTATTTGAAAACAAAAGATATTGAAATTGAACATATAACATGCCATATGTCTGCCACACTTACAGCTCCCAATGTTGTTTACTATATTATATAATTACAACAATGCCATTTTGTCATAATTACGTAAGAACTTACACACCTTGTGTAAATCTCATAATTTAAGTAAAATACATTGTTTGAGAACATAGTTTCAAAAATGCTTCAAGCAGCACAAAACAATACCCACAGTTTCAGGTAAGAAATTAATCTAAACAGAATAAATAAAATCATGCATTCAAACAAAACTCTTAGACTTGAAAAGACACTTAGTGCCAAACGCGGTTTGACCTCAAGAGGTCATCGTTGTGTGGGTTAAAAATAAAGATGCCTAAATTATGCAATGAAATATTGCATTGAAGAATTTGCCTGAAGGTGAAGGGAATTAATATAATGAAACTAAATATACATGAAATACATAGCTAGTGTTTATATATGTATGTAGGTGTGTGTGTGTGTGTAAATAAAAGTAATGTTCATCTTGTAAGTAAGCATTTATAGTACTGTTACATATTTGCTTTTTTAAAATTTGTGACAGCCCATGACATGACAATGACTTCTGGTAATTCACTGTATGCTATAACACCAGAAATAATCAGTTTCTCATTTTACGGCACAATATGATTTTACATATATTTTCTTGTGCTGCAGCTTAATACAAGCAGACTGAAGAGATAATATAGTCTCCAACAGTTACATATTAAATGATACTGTGATAGTAATGTAGACTCAGTCCTTTAGGTGAACCGATCTGTGTACATATTTCATCTCTATGTGCTGATGAATTCTTGTCATGTATTACAGTTAGACACCACAATAACACCACCAGACTATGACTAATTAACTTAATGTGACCTCATAATCTCTCTTTTCAACACTAAACCATTCTCTATTCATAATAGAAAAAACAATTAAAAATACATTCACTTCATGCAACATGCCTCAGCTAAGTCTGTCAAAAGCAAGACTGAAGACTTTTTACTATGGTACACATTCAAAATTTGTAAATTCAACTGTTTGTGAGGCCTGGGGCTAGACAAATATTCAATGAATTGATGTATTTGTAAAAAAGCAATCTTTATGCAAAAGGAATGCCTATGGCTTTTAGCCACAGAGCAGGAAGGCATGAACTGCACATACTCGGATGAGATAATCAGATGCATATTCTGCTGCCTCCTTTGGCATTCCATCAGTGGCAGGGAATTTGGTATACCTATTACAGCAGACATTGCTGCTATGGCCCCTGACTACTGCTGTAGTAACATTACAAATATACATATGACTAGAATAAATAAACCAATCACGTTGCAAACGGATTCAAGTTCTTATCATAATCATCATCATCATCTCCACTGAATGGATTCATGGATTCTTCACCAGCAAATGGATTTTTGCTTTCGTCATAGTCATCTTCATGAAATGGATTTTTGGAAGGCCCAGTTCGTGGCTTGGGCAAGAGAGTGGCCCTGGAAGATGGTGAGTGGTGAGGGGTCAAGGTTTTGTTAATGGGAGGCTGCACACTTTGAACAGGGACTGGTGAGCCTCTGGCAGGGGAGCCATGGGCAGGGGAACTTCTTGTAGGTATTGGTGATGTTCGAGAGGAAGGTTCAACCAGACTCCTGGTCAGGTTTGCTTCAAGAGAAGAGCTGTACTGGTCTGAATGTTAAAAAACCTCATCCTGCCCTCTGAAGGCACAATGATTGCACCAACATTTCTTCGATCCCCTCGAACTGCATGACTATCAACAGCTGCAAGAAAGTCAATATGTTTGTCAGAACACATAATAACATAAATCAACCAAAAATAAATACTACTGCAGACAGTGATAAAATCCTCTTGGGTGAGAAGCTGCATCAATTCATAGCAGAAGTCTAAAGTTCCAGAATTTCTGTGTCCATTATCATGGATAAATTTTATCAATTATGGCCATAAAATCATCAAGACTTACACTGCTGAAGGACAATATTTATTTGGTTGGCAGTAATGCAGGTACTTTCATCTGTCCAAACAGCAACTCTATTTACCACCTCCATTACACACACAAAGAAAAACACCATTTTTCACATTAAAGAAACTGAAAGATACCTTTCTATCAGTGTTCACTGAACCACCACCAAGTTATACAATTTTGAAATCTGCATTGTAAAGCCTAAGCGTATAACATCCAAAACCAAAGTGTAGCAGTTTACAGACTATATAATGCAGTCTTGTTGAACTATAGCAAAGAGAAAACTAAAACTATACTTACAAGTATGTAACACCTGTCCCTCTCCTAGCCTAAGGCGTGCCTCAGCTCCAGGACCATATGACAACGAGCTGCCATTTGTGGGTTTAGATGATCCTGAGAAGAAGAAAGCAAACAAGCAGCTCATGATTCCATCATGCACATAATCTGTCTCGTCTACTATTTTAGATTATAAGAAAATATTGTTATCTCACTACTTTTTTATTAATCTACAGATACACTAATGAGATAAGCAAGTACAAGCAGTTATTGGGATTTAAATAACAAAAGTTGTCAAGAACTCATAACATTGAACAGGCTTATGAAGCAGATAAAACAGTGTTTATCTAATTTACTTGATATGTGAAAATAAAGAATATATATACATCAATTATATATAAAGAACCTTATGGATAAACATCTCTTGGATGGCTAATTAAGGCATAAATACAAGGAAAGGATTATAATATATATTAACAAAAATTGTTATAAAGATTAAATTTTGGAATGAACATTAACATTATCACATCTACTTACTTATATTTGTTTTCTCTGGAGAATCAGTAATGACAGTCAGCTTGTTGAAGACTCCACGTCCAAAGTAATCTGCCACCAATGAGAAGCCATCCTCAGCTCGTTCCAACTGGCTGTGAAATGTTTCATGCAACTCTCGACTTTGTTCCTGCAGTCATGATTTACAAATAGACCAATTTTAAAAAGTGTAGACATTTTAATATATCAGTGTGTTTTGTGATTGGACAGAGACCCACCTGCTCTTTGTGTCATGGGCAATCTTCATACAGTCACTTAATTCACACATTTAAACTAAACTGCGCAAATTATAAATTACAGCACTTTCTGTGTTGGTCGGTCAAACTTAAAAATTGACAAAAGTGCTTCTTTTCATCTTTTATGGATGTTACTCTTTAATAATGGCAATTTGATATTTTAAGATAAAAAATGAAGTTTACTCTTTACTGTGTGTATATCCAACATCCAAGCTTTTACAATATTTCCAAGGCTACTAAAATTATAAAAGAAAAACAACCTGCAACAGAATTTTTACATTTGAACACTGCTGAAAAGTTGCATCTGGATATGAATGCATGAAAATTTATTAACACTTATTACAGTAGGTCATAACTAAGTGAATGGTGAAAATATGGTCCAAATGGTAGACATAAGCCATTCCCTAATAGTGAACAAACACATGTACAGATATAAACAGTTGATCATTGCATGCAAATTGTTGGCCAGAGATCCAGAAAGGAAGAGACCACTTGGAAGACTTAGACACAGATGGGAGGATATTAAAATTGGTCTTGAAAAATAAGGTGAGGGTACAGACTGAATCAACTGACACACAGAAATGCAAATGGGTCTTAATGTGCATTTTTGCAACCTTAGATGTGAATGCATCTAAAAATGAATGGCTTAAATATCATTCAAAATATTTACATAATAAAATGCTCATCATCCAGCCATGTCATGCTGTGGGAAGTAATTAGTATTTGCATTAGTTACTGTTATTTCATAGGTTTAATAATGTTAGAATTTGGCTCCTGTCCAATCAACACCAAGGCAAAGCTGCCACAGCATGAAGCTGACCACTCATACCCACCAAATGTTGATTATTTCTATATTGTGTCTCATAATATGATTACGTACAGCAACAAATTTATGCTGGTCTCCTAATAAGAATGGAAGAGAGATTAGATTTACTTAGGTAACACATATGACCTTATCCACAACAAGAATGTGCTAAGACACAGTTCAATTCTGAAACCTGTGCAGTACATAGATCAGTTAAACATATACCACAAAATTTCCTTGTTCTGTTTTTATAGAACACATACCTGTGACTTGATAATATCCAATATCTTTTTATTATTTGGGAGACATGCAGGACATTCATTTTCATTCTCAGCATAGCTCTGGAAGCAACTGAAACAAGCAGTAGAAAACAATAATTACATTTTGTATACAAATCTTTGCTGGAAAATCTGCACTATCATGTGTTCAGTTGTCCATTACACTCTCTGTATTATGACACTGGGATGTTTACACAACACAAAATAAATAATCCATTTATTTATATACCAAAACGGGTAATTTAAGTATACGACAGGAACTGCTCATGAAAGTGGCCTAACTTTACCTACATATGCTTGACAGTGAGAAGAAACAGTCTCGAATGTTGATCAGCTGTATAGGATATCTCCTAAGATTTGCAGTATATCCCTGAATGCAACAAAATAGGATGTGATTGATTTTGTGGCAGCAACACCAATTACAATTCAAAGAACATAACTTGAAAAAGCTGTCAAACTGCATGTTCATGTAATATTTCCTGATCCAAACAACTTCCACAGCAACTACTCACATACCATTTTTAATTAACCTGTATACCTGCTGGTTATGTAACATTCATGGGTAGAGCACTTCTGGCTCAAAATGGCATCCACAGCAATCTCACAAAGCCTGATATAACCTTTGCCAGTCACTTCAAATATGGCTCAATACATTTGTACTACGTAACATTGTTAATGGAAGCAATCAGGCCAAAATGTTACTCACTGCTGATGGAAGGAATGTTGGCACAGAAAGTGGATAGAAGGCAGCTCCAGCTGGTGGTTGCAAGCATTACACCTGGACCCTTGGAATATCACTGTTCTGAATCATCAACACATTATAAATCAGCGTAATCCTAAGAATGTGGAAATAGCTTTAAGAAAATTACGCATTACATTGATGATTCACAGTTACATACTGCAAAAACAACCTTACAAAAAGGCAAATGCCAGTCTCCTAGTGAATATTCCAAACATTATTTTATTTGTGGAATGTAATAACACAAAAAAATACAATAAAATGTAGATCCAGCCAGTAATTAAAACACACAGAAATTAAATACTTCAAAGTAAACCATATGTAGTAAAATAATTTTATATTCTTCAATTTAAGGTTAAATTTGGATGATAATCTCAGTGTTAAATTTCCTCTAGCTAACACTTTCTTCAGTTCAATGAATAAATCCATCACTGCACAGAAACCATAAATTTGAATTTCACTTTATTCTGATCACTATTTTATAAAATAAATGATTTCTGCGTCATCCATGACAAAATACTTAAAACAAACATTATCATGGCAGTTCAAGGCACTATTGAGGCACTTATGTTACATGAAAAGAGCTAATCATGTAATTACACATACAAATGTGTTTCAAATTACATCATAACATAAGATATGAGATGTCCTAGGTCCCACAAACCTGGTCTGAATGGCATTAATCTGAGATCGGATCCGCTCAGTTTCCATCCGATACTTATCGATCAACTGCTGTTCCTGTTCTGTCAGCTCACTTTCTGACTGTAGAACACTAATCAGGTAACCACGCACTTCTCCCAGTGTAGCTGTTGATGAGTTAGACAGGGCATCCACCACCAGCAATGGTGATAACAAACGCTCCTTCTCTGCAATACAATGTAGTATCTACATTACAGATCAACTAGTAGCTGAAACAACGAATGGAGGCTCCTGGTTTATTTTTCTGGCAGAGCACATCTAAAATGAAATTTAAAACCATGTCCTCTTCACCTCATCACTATTGAATTTATAATTCTAACAATACTATATGAAGAATACAAACTGTGAAGCTCGTCAATGCATAATTTTATCCTTACCTGTTATTACATATGTCCTATACACAAACATTTTCCTTACCACTTTGTTCTGTGTTCTTCATTATTTATAAAAATGAGTATCACAGCCATAACAAACAAGAGAAATTAGAGAATGGAATTTATTACCTATCACACCAAGGATCTCAGATAAAAGTGAGCTAGGCATGTTGGGATCCTTGGCACAGGACCAAAGTGCTTGTACCCAGAGGCTGGGATCTTGGTGGCCAAACCGACGACAGCTCGCCAGAACTGCCTTATGGTCCTCTTGTCTGATATGATACTGCACTATTTGCTGGTACCTGACACATACAAAATAAAAACTAAAGAGTAAAATAAATGTATGAGCTTTCACACACAAAAGGAAAATTTTTCTGCTATGGCATAATAAAGGATGCACAACATAAAGCCTTCCAGTATGCCAACATCACTTAATCACTTTCATATGAGGCATGCTGCTTACACAAATGAAGTCATGTGAAACAAAGTTATGGCACTACAAGCACTAAATATGCCACAGAGAAAATGTCTGTACCTAATTCAAGAAGATAATCTCTGTGGCATAACTATTACATCTGGTATCAAAAAAATATCAAACTAAAATTTAAGTTATTCTAACTACAGACTTAGTAAAACCAGTTGTGTTTTTTGGTATTCTTTGCATTCTATCATCAAAAGAGTACCTGACAGGTCTGTTCTGTACATCTCTCTGTCTGTCATATCTTTCAGCAGAGATCATCCAATAAATTATATATTCTGCCTTACAAAGTTGAAGAAATATTGTTTAACATTCTGAAAACAATTTTTTTTTGTCTTTGCTTCCATGAAGATATTTTCATCATCATACCACATGAACACACCATTAATGGACCCATGTTGGCTACCATCTCTGTGGCGGTCATGTTGAACTTTTCTCTGTATTTGTGTGGAAATTGCTGTTCAATACAGATGTACAAAATATAAACAAAACTATATCAAAATATCAACAATCAGTCCCTTAACAGGTTATAAATAATCAAAGAAAGAGACTAAGGTCACTATACTTACAATTTGCTTTCCTCATACAGGTACAGAATGCCACTCTTAAAGTTGTGGATTTGGCAGAGAATGAGAGTCTGATCATTGTCATAATTTGCTTCTGGGTTCTGCAAGAGACGCACAATCTTCTGTTCACACTGTGTCTTACTTGCTGGGTCAGTAAGTGATGACCACACGTGTAGATAATGTTCAATAAGTGTGTTGTACACCAGAGTACTCCACTTGGGTTGAACCTATGGCACATTGGAATCATGACTAAAAAAAGAGAACAAGATATCCAAAATATAGCTGTCTTATCTATGTTGTTGTCAGTGTATGCACCCCTAGGAAAATTATTTTCATAAACAGAAACATATTAATGAATAACATAAAACATAATCTTTTACTATTAAATATGCTGTACCCTTGATTTCATGAGAATTTATTCTGGAAAAATGTTCATTCCAATGGATACATTGTGTGACAATTTATACAATGTTGAAAAACTGATGATGCTGATAACTTTGCTACTACAATATAGTTCTTGTTCTGTGGTTAAACTGTACTCATGTAAATTTGATACAGCTGAACTTAGTAAGACCACACTGGGAGGAACATAACTGCTACAACATACTATAGAGACATGATAAAAAACATAATAAAGCAACAAGTTCTGGAAAGAAGGTCTACTTGACTTTGGAGGCTTTTATGTGAATACTATGATAACAATAATTATAAAACATAATGACCTTATTCTATACATAAAGCTCACTAGTACAAATTCCTTCTACATACATGTTTTCAGACACAACCTGAAAATGTTGCCTCTTTTGTAATTTTTAACATACATAAATTTCATTGCAGGTACGATTATGTTTTATTGCTATACAAAATTTTACATGCCCAATTGCAATGGTTCATTATTTATTGATACAAAACAAAGCCAAATACTGATTTCATGCAACTGCAATAATATTATTTGAAGCTCTACAAAAAGATAACCTGAACAAAACCTGCATATTAATAAACAAATTTAGTTGACTTTCTAGCTAACAACTCTGGTACCAGAACTAAAAGGAATGATTCTGAAAATGGATATGATATCAAGCCAGTTAAGTCCACTTATCATTCTTCTTACTTTCACCACACAATATACAAGGATCCTGCAATAGCAAAAGCAGCACAGCTATTATTGTAATCATCCCACCACAAAATAACAGTAACAGTATCCACCGTTTTGCAATGACTATCTATCTGATTGTTATGTATTTTGTATCTCTGCTGTGAGAGAAATATCAGCAAAACCCAGTACCTTGACTAGATGCTCTAGGAACTCTACTAATCTCTCTGAACTGTTGAGAAACAAGTGAATGAAATCTTCTGGATTTGCTCGTTCCACATGTGGAATCTTTGATCCGTCTAGCATGTTCTAAAACAAAAACAAAAATATCATATAAAGGAAAAAAGATGTCTGGGTATGGTCTAATTCACCAAACTCTGTATACATAGAAGGATTTTATTTTTAAGCCAAGACTTTGAGATCCAAGGAACAAATTTTAAAATCAAGAACTAGAGTTAAAAGAAATACATTTTATATCCACTGAGCTTAAGTTTCAAGAGATATCTTTTAAATAAAAGACCTTGAATACCAATACTTACATTTTACAGCCAACAAGTTGAATTAACATACATAAATTTGAAACCATCAGTTACAGCAACGCCAACGTTTGTAAATTCTTGTCTGCACCATTTCCCATTTAATATTCCCTGACTTGTAGTTTACCATCATTCAGCAGTCGAAAACTCTACATTCCTGTTTCAACCATCCCAAAATTGAAGTTTCTGCACTGAAGATTTCTGAGCACTAAAGACATTCTAAAGGTAGTCAAAAAGATCAGAACTGGAGTAATTAGGTAAATTGTATGTAAGTTCAGTGATGAAATCCTTTGTTATCACAAATAAATCATAAATGGGGAGTGCAATGTGTGAATACTGCACTGAATAGTACTCATTTTGCTTCAATCTTCAGTTTCTGTGTTGCTGGAAATTTGTTACTTTTCATCACACAAGAAAGTTGAAGAAATGTAGTACTGTATTATGAAATTCTCAGTCCTCTTTATTCTTTTTCATTATAAAGCTGTACATTTGTAATGCTTCATCAAATAAACAATTAAATTACACTGTCTTTTGTGTGGAGATACATACTGAGAACTCTATTAACATGCACAGTTATCATGCGATTTGGGATACTGAGGTAAAACTTCAAATATTGTTAACCTTCACACCTAACAAAAGAAGTTAATGGTCACCTTTGGCTGCTTTACCTATCATGGAAAGAGTATCAAGCACCCAATGGAGAACTAGATAGAGGCACTAGGCCTGATCTGATATGATGGCAAATAACTAAATAAGCAAGCAGAACTGACATTACTGCCTTACCTGGTCCACGAGTGGTTTGTTGCTGGGCTTGTAGTCTGTGCAGAGTTTCTTCAGGAAGTGTGTAGATTCTTCAGGAGCATTCTGCAGCAGGATATTGCCGTACTTCTTCATGTTGGACTCAGCCTGCAATTTGCATATAATGTCCCCTGTAATAATCAAACTCTAATCTTTAAGGAAGAAAACTGACTAAACACTGAGCTTATTACACACGGGAATGACATATAATACACAAAAATATCTCAAGGCATGAATAATATGCACTTATTCTATTTACTTAACATACCTGTATAGAAATTGGAAAGTTGCTGATTTACAATATCTTACATTTCACTGAAATAAATTGCTATGAGACAATAATTTCAGAAATTAGCCAGAGTCCACAGTAACAGTACAATTTCAGCTTTTATTTCAGATTAAGTATGTGCAAGCAGTGAGGTAATTCAGATTTGCACAGCATCAGACAATTTTGAAGGGTATGTCAGCATAAAGGTACACTGTAGAATCAAATATATACTGGTTATCCTCACTTAATTATACTCACATCTTCAAATTCCAGGCTGCTGATATATTCTAGTGCCTCCCTGTACTTAGCCTGGTCTTCAAGCTGTATTTTAAGGTACCAGTCATGCATTCCATGTTTCTTGGCAAGCAACAGCGCATCCTCTGGTGAGGCCTGGCGACAAACTTTGATGGCAATTTCAACATCAAAGTCCACTTCACGATCTTTTGTCTGAAATGTTAGTGCAAATCATATTAATTTGAATGGAAAAAATATGACCGACAAGTGGATAATATAGACACATTACAGATTAACACAATGGGCATTATATCATTAACTACTTAATTTATAGGAAAAAATTAAACATTTCCTGGTATGCTCCACACAAATGTATGTGGTCTAAATCTACTTTTATGTGCCATTCCTTACCATGATAAACTCCTTCAGTTTCTCAGTATTGTTTAACTTGGTGTAACAGTTGAGCAGCAGTGTTGTATGGTCCTCCGTTGCCAAACCTTGCTTGTGCAATGCTTGTAGGTACATTGTAAGCTTGTCTATATGCTGTGAATCTAAAAACTACAATAAAAAAATGTTAACACTTGTTTACTTTCAACTTCATAGTATGTTAACACTACTATTATAATGAACATTACTGTAGGAGTAAATTTTAATTTGAATCTTAAAACTTTGCATACCGTGTAGTGTATTAGAATATAGAGTAAGCAAACCAACAACTATTAACACTATAATAAGACACTATTCCATACACGTTTCAACCTCAAGAGGTCATCATCAGTGGCATCAAATAGTTGTTGGTTTCCTTACTCTATATTTTAATTTGAATGTTTTATAGCTTTTATAATTTTTGTTGCAGTCTTCATTTCTTCTAATAAAACAGTACAACAGGGAGCTGAAATATCAGAAACCTTTCAAGAGTTATGATTAAGTAACATAATTCAGTAGCCTTCACCATAAGCCTTCAGTTACACAACATTTTAAACTAATCACAATCATGTCACATAATGAAACAACCATTACTAGAAGTCAAAACAAATAACAGTAACAGACTAGGCTCAAATTTAACTTGGGACTAGGTTAGTAAGTTGTCTTTTTCCCAAGACCACAGTCTGGGTTTACAGTGAAACCTCGATGCATCGTTTTCGGCGGGGGTGGGAAATAAAAACGATGAATGCGGGAAAACGATAGATGCGGGAAAGCATTAAAAATTTAAAAAAAAACAATGTTTCTCTTTCAAAGTTACTTCTTTTTACCAAAAAAGTCTTTAATGGACAACTGGTTTGTCGAAACTTTACGTTTTAGACCAAACAGAGCACTTTCCACGTTCAAAATGTTTTC